ATATATATATATATATATATATATATATATATATATATATATAGAGAGAGAGAGAGAGAGAGAGAGAGAGAGAGAGAGAGAGAGAGGGAGAGAGAGACTAAGATGGGATCCATCGGTAAACCAAATTTTTTCTATAAAAATTGACATTCGAAGTTGAAAAAATGTTGATGAGCAATTAATTGGCACATTTTTATGATCTTGCGAAAGAGGCAATTTTATTTTTGTTTTTGTTTGATGTGTTTTTAGTACGTATATATATATAAATGTATGTATATTTAGGCAGCATATTTTCATTCAAAGAGGTTTCATTGAATGAATATAAGCATATTGTGTTTGTTTATTTTTATACTGATTCTTTCCAATTGTCTAATCATTTTCTTGATGTTTTGAAGAAATTCATCAAGGAAGGTGCCGTAATTTTTTTAAAACCCTTTCCTGAGATTATCTTCAAAGATAAATTACAAAGACATACTTATTGCAACTGCGATAAAATCTGGTGATTTAAAAAAAAACACGTGCGAACGCCCTTTGATATAGTTATTTTAAAACTTTAAATTTATTCGTTGTAGTTATGGAAAGTTCTTGCAAAGCAAACTGACCCGGAATTATCATTATTTTTTTAAAACTCAACCAAATGCAGCCCAATGCAGCAAGTCATGTAATACCAAACTGCAATAACGCCTTTGGAATAGCAAATAACATCTTTGGAATAATAATATTTTTATATGCATTCTAGAAAATATACAGTACCCTTCTTCAGGCCTTACACGCTCATCCCATTGGCCTTTCAGTCTCTAAAATTCTCTTTTAGGATTGTCATCAGTTATGTTCCCTTTAATTTTAGTTTCAACAGCGATATTAGCTTTGAGAAAAGTCGGAAGCCGTAGGAAGCAAAAAAATCTAGTGTAGACGAATGAAAAAGAATTTACCAAAACAAAATACAAAAAATATTGCAGATTACTCAGTCATTTTGAATACGAGGTTTACATAGTAGACACGGATAAATGTTATAAGTAAACATCATTAAACATTAATTAAACAGTAGACATTAATTAATTAACTATATACATATATATATATGTGTGTGTGTGTGTGTGTGTGTGTGTGTGTGTGTGTGTATTTGCGTGCAAATATGTAAGATCCTATCTGCTCATGAAAGTATATATTTTAATGAGTTTCAGTGTGTTCATATCTGTCTATCGATCTATCTATAAACTAGGATCTATCTTTAAATCTTTATATTCATCTAAGTCTTTTCATATCTGTGTGGCTCAGACTGTTCAAATCTGACTTAGTATGTTAGGATCTATTTCTTTATCTTACTGTTTATCTCAGCCTGCTATCTATCTATCTATCTATCTATCTATCTATCTATCTATCTTGATATGCTAGCACCTTTCTATCTATGTCCCTAAATCTTCCGTCCAATCAAGGTGGCGGATAAGGACGTATTTACAGCCAATGTTTGTGCAAGTGAAGACAATTATCAAAGGCAAAAATGCCGCACCTCTTGATCCGCCATTAATCACTACTTTAGATTACATTCGACCTGAGCTTTCCTTTTACGCTCTCCTGAAAGATGCGCTTTCTTTCTTATCTCTCTTCTTTCCGACTTTGATTTATTTTAAATACCAATATCACTAGTATGGAGCCAAGTACAAGCTGGTATTTATCTATGTCGAAATACTATTAATAAATGCACTGTTTTATATATTTTTATTTACCATTTGCCATGTTGTGTAATTTCACAACCGATACAAAAGACAATTATTATTTGTAATAAATAAATTCATAACTCATTCATATGTAAATTATATATATATATATTCTCCCTGGAATTATCCACACGGATTAACAAAAATATTTTTACCTATATATATATATATATATATATATATATATATATATATATATATATATATATATATATGTGTGTGTGTGTGTCTTCGTTTATTGTTGAAATTATGATCTTATAAAAGAAAAAAAAATTAACAAGACTTATGTTCAGGCATAGGTTTCGATAGATATGTCGAATGTTTGTGTTATATAGGAATAAAGTGTCGCTGCCGACACTAGAGTTTGAACACAGATCACCAGAGAGCAAACACAGGCAATCCCATTTTGAATAAGTAGAGCACGTGATGGTAAAGAGAATGTATATATGGGAATTGGCGTGGCGTCTAAGTGATCACTATCCAGATCACTATTCGGTGGTTACTTTCCGAGCGAGTATTATCGAGCAAGCACTATTAGTACGAGTGTCATTCGAAGGCGTCTGATACCAATATTGTTCAATGGCGTTACTATAATTGTAATCTGCGATTACAAAGTCTCTACTACAACGGACCTTACGAAAGTGACAACAAGTGTTCGTTGACATCACAAAAGTATGCAAACACGCACAAACACTCTATAGATAGATTTTGGAAAGTATATTGGGGCAAAAGAATTTTAGCTCACAAAAAATGTATATACAACTATGACATGTAGATATGAATCCGTACATATTCAAACAGTAAAAAAAATAAAAAAATAAAAAATACATGAACCCAACCAACATAATTAATAACCTAAAAAGAGAAAAAATGCCTTTACCATTAAAGTACTTGTTTATTAACAACGCACAGACAAGTGTACATTGTGTTTGTGTATGCTCTTTTGTATGTGTAAATATGCACGCGTGTGTATATCTATAAGCTTATACGCATGTATGTATGTGTACGTGTGCGCAAGCGTATAGATACAGGCATATGCACATAAATTCAAACAATAATAAAAAAAAATTAATTACAAACCTAACTTCCTACAATTAACATTTTAATAGTACTCAGTTTAAGCTAAACTCAAACAAATAAGAATGCGAAAAATCAGCCAAATGAAGACATATATAAACATCTACTTTATCATTTAAGCATTAAAATCAATTTTTTATGTCAAAACCGAAATACAATTTTCCTAATATAAGAAAAGACGAGAATTCTCAAGAATTAAAAACAACAAATCTAGAAAAAATAACCGGAAATAATTTTGCAACAAATGTCTACAATTGAAAGAAAAGACGAAAAAAGGAAAAAGCCAAGGATTGAGTATAACGCAAAACAAAAACAAAAACAAAACAAACAAACAAAAAAACGAAGAAAAGGACAAATAATCACGACACTATACACGTATGCACATCCGCGCAGACGGGCACATGGGCGCACGCGCGCAAATGGACACACGCACACACAGACGCGGGCACATACACTACGAAAAAAACTTGCATCAATGACAAATGCATTATAGAAACATCGAGCGCTTACGAAACTCTGGAGCCGGGATGCTGAAGGTAGCATCAATCAGTTACGTGACAAACCTTTTACGTATATTAATTTTCTCTCTCACCTTATATATATATATATATATATATATATATATATGAATAACTATGAATCGAAAGTGGTCAGTAGTATTCAGGTTTAATTTCAGTATTAAACCTTAACTACCGGGTGTCAGGCAGTCTTATCCTCAGGCGATGTTTGGAATCATATTTTTTTTAAATATAATTATAATCTAGGCTCTACTTCTGTATCGAACACTGTTTTTAAAAAATAAAAACAAAAATACTAAAGAAATTCGGATCATCAATCTAACAGTTCTTTCCTATTATATCCATACACATACAAACAAATACACACACACACACACACACACACACACATATATATATATATATTAATGTATGGGCAGCACCCTTTTCTTTTACACATATTTCCGTTAAATAAGGAAAACAAGGAAGATTTGATTAATTTTTGATTTAGTTTTTTCCAGCGTCTTTGAGTTTCTTTCCGATTCGTAGGAGTAATGGGAGGCACGTTCTCGCAATGGATAGCGGCACAGACTGAGGAATCGGAAAGCCGAGTTCGAATTCCAGTCGAGTGCATTCACTTACGAACTAATACGCTTAGGAAAGGGATGGATTCTCTTCCCCTCCAGTTGTGGGTAAATAGCAGGACAGACCGAAATCTATAGCCTTGGATGGCAACTGATCTAATGAAATGGCAACCTACGACTAGAAAAAAATCTGCCTCGTCAGTAATGTATCGAAAGATAACTGATCGCCTAAGCATGTATCACGCATGTCACGTAACTGAATGGTGTACTAAAATTTCCCATAATTTTCTTTAACTATTTTCGGAGGGGGGCATTTTTTCTTCCTGTTTTGATTGTTTATGATATAATTTATTTTTGTGTTGTTTTGAATAGAAGCGTTTATTCCGAGCCTTATTGTGTTGAGCGTGGATGGAATTCACGCGGGCGTCTTTCTGATTTTTAAAAACTTAAAAAAAAACAAACTCAGTTTCCACTGTAGGGTTAACGATCATCATGCACAATAGGGTAGACTCTATAGGTATGTCTGCAGCCAGTATGGTGATAACAGGGCATCGCTGAGTGGAGGGAATCCTAGACTGAAGTGATCCTAGACTGAAGTGAACGCCCAGGGCAGAGGGTTCTGTCAGTGTAATCAGCTGTTACGTACCCGTAACCAATGTGAGTGTTCAACTTAGAAGCGACATCGGCAATAGCTTGACCTGGATGACCGGCACGTGCTCCGCAAGGTTTGTAACCCAAGATGCACTATGCATGAAAATAATTCTCTTGCTATCAACCAAGATATAGGAAAGGAACAAGTCACGTGTTCAGCTGCACAGCAACCCTACGATCACAACTTAACTTCACAGACTACAACACCCTTGCTTATTATATGTGCGGCGCAGCTGAGCGAGAGACAAAACTCCTTGTAACACCAAAGATGAACTGAAGGCAAGTATTATGGCAGCATTTACCAATTTACACAAGGAGATTGTCCAAAAGGGCTGCAACAGATTCCTCAGTCGTCTGCAGGTCGTGGTTTTATAGTATTTCAAGAAATTTTTGCGTAATTTTGGTAAATATATCTGTTAAAACGAGAAGGCAGCGTTATTTTCCTTTTTGCTTAATTTAAATGCACCCTGTATATGTTATAGGCAATAAGCAACATGGCAAGAAAGGAAGAACGTAAAAGAAATAGAATGTTCAAAAAAGATGTAAAAAGACTGTGAAGAAGAAGAAGAAGAAAAAGAAGAAGAAGAAAAAGAAGAAGAAAAAGAAGAAGAAGCAGAAAAAGAAGAAGATATAGAGAAAATCGTCAATAAGAAGAGAAATATGAAACGAAAAGTAAAAAGGTAAAGAATAAAGAGAGAAGAAAATAAAAATAGAAGGAAGGAAAGAAGGAAGGAAAAACGAATGAATAAAATAAAAATGAAAACGCAAAAAATAAAAACAGAAAGGAAGAATAATATGGAAGTGGGGGAAAGAAAAAGGGAAAATAAAAGAAAATGATGGTAACGTGAAAAAAATGATGAAAGAGAAAGTAACAAGAAAAAAGGAAATGAAGAAGAATCTAACGGAGTAGAAAACAGAGGAAAGAGAAAAAGAAAGAAACGGGCGAAAAGAGAAAAAGTTAAGGAAAAATCAAACAAAGAAAATATAGGAGAAAAAGTGAAATTAAAAAATGAAGTAAGGAAATGAAGAAGTAAAGAATAAAAATAACAAAAATGAAAAAATAAAATAAAATCAAGCGTAAAAGAAAATATGTATATAAGACAGAAAAAAGAAAGAAAGTAAAAAGAGAGAAAAAAGAAAGAAAGTAAAAAGAAAGAAAAAAGAAAGAAAGAAAAAGAAAGAAAATGAAGCGTAAAAGAAAACACATATAAGGAAAAAAGAAAAGAAAAGAAAGAAAAAAGAAAGAAAAGCATAAAGAAAGGAAACTTAGTGAAGTGAGAGAGAAGAAAATGAAAAAGAAAGAGATAATAAAGGAATATCAGAAATATTAGAAAGCAAATAAAAAAGAAAGAAAAATATCAAAGAAAAGAAAAGAAAGCAGGAAAAGGGAAATGAAAGAAAAACGAGAAATACATGAATGGTTTGTTTAATGAAATCAAAGAGGTTAGCAAACAGGTGAACGAGTAATGAAAATGGAAGAGGAGACCAGATGGAAGGTTGAAGAAAAGATTAGATGAAAGAAATGTGCAAAACAAGAGAATTGAAAGGGTGAAATATTGGCCGACGTTTTACTTACGCACAACTCCTGTTTGCTTTGAATTTTATAACTGAGTCGACCGTCAAAGATTTGTCTGGTGTCGTTCGACAATTTGCAAACTTTTTTCTAAACAAACGCATTTAGGGCAAAAGAAAAACTAAAAGCTTAAAAAATCACAACAAATACAAACACTTTCGACCACATTCTCAGTGTGCAGGCACGCACAAGATAACCATATTTGGCAAAACATTTATGGAGTAACCAACAATGAAAACAAAACAAAAAATCTTTCTGTCATTATAAATGAACCAATCGAATTGCAGCTTTGATCTCGACTTGCCCAATCCTCTATTAATCCCAACGACATTTGATAAAAAAAAACAAAAAAACATTTGACTCCCATTTACTATTTGTTTGTTTTTCTATCCATCTCGTCTACAAGTACAAGTCCTGTTGTCCGACCTTCTGTTAATCCGATCAACATTGGAACAAAAGGTCAAATCAGAAGGTCAAACTACAATAATTGTAACTTGTAAGAATAGATCGATCGAAATGCAAACGAAGAATCTCATCCGAATGTATTTTTATGGAGATAAAAGCATAATTACTATGAAGTTTTTGCGAGATTTGAACGCTAAAAACATTGTATTAAAAGCAGTGAAAATATGAAGCTAGATATTTTGAAATAAAAGCTGACATTGATTGGAAGCTATTCACGTACACGGAAATTATGTATCAATTTGTGCTATGAGTTTGATGTAGATTCTATTGGATGAGAAGTAGTGGTTTAACTCGCTGTAGTCCGACAAAGCTGATGACTCACTATTCATCGAGCTATCTACTGAATCACAACAGCAGCAAATTCGGACCAAACCCAACCTCTCCATTCATTGCAACTATGTTCCCCAGCAAGCTGGCGGATTAATGAGTACAGCCCACTTTTTACAGCTTCGTTTGCGAAACCAAGTCAGTGAGAACAGACATAAATAATAAAATAACCAGTTGTTCAAATTTTGACCGTGAATATAGATTTCAAAATCTTTTGAGCAGGATTATGTCGTATTTATGAATATATTAATTTAGATAAATACATGTGCAATAATCGAATATTTAAATCAGGCGACGCATAGACAAAGATACGCAGATCGGTATATGCATAAAAACTGAAATCGTCGAAAGTCCTTGAACAAAAATAGAACAAAAAATGAATGATCCCGATGTATACATTCTGTTTGAAAACTGGAAAATTACAATGAAAAAATAAACAGCGAAAGCTTGTTGGCTTTAATTTAACAAAACTTGTTTGGATAATAAATATACCTGTGTAAATATATATTAATACATATAAACATAAACAGGAAAAAAGTGAGATAGCTAGCTAGATACTGAGGCAGAATTTACATAGGTGCAAATATCGAGGAATTGCAGAATTCTGCTGTATCTCAAGCAGCTAGTACGATACCCACAAAGTATTCCTCTATAATAGACATATCCCAGGTTAAACTAAACAGATACCACTTATTTGCATTTAGATGCCTTGTGCAAAACAATTCCTAATAAGCAGATCTATGGATCCTTTTTCAGAACTATTCTAAACTATATATATATATATATATATATATATAATTTATTTGAAAATTATAACATAAATATGTTATAAAATCACTACAAAAATAGCCATTTTGTTTCAACACTTCTAGTGTCTTATCAAGTGGTGTTGAATGTAAAACCTGTTCTACATCCAACACAATTACTTGATAAGTGTTGAAACAAAATGACTATTTTTGTAGTGATTTTATAACATATTTATGTTATAATTTTCGATTTATAACACACACACACACACACACACACACATATATATATATATATATATATATATATATATATATATATATATATATATATATATATTACTGAGGCGAATATCACGAGATTTTGGCGACCTACATGTTTCACCCATATATTTACGCACCACATGTTTCACCCACATATTTTAAGTCACAGTTGTTGCATGAGATTTGGTAGATGCAAGCATCGGATGTAATATGTTGGTTGCTGTTGTTATTTAATAAACTGCGGATAGTTCTAGTAGGTAATATTGTAGTTTTAATTTTTAGCGCATTTAAATTATTGGAGGTACGTTTGGTCAAATGGTTATTTGGTAGAAAGATGCGACCAAAAGAATTATCAGGGACAGCTGAAAGTGTGCCTTTCACTGATGTAGTTGTAGTAGTGGTCTTCAAGGTGTCATTTGGCGCTGATGAAGGAATTTTCAACGATTTATTTTTAGCTCTCAGTAATAATTGTCTCGGATACGGAAGATTTGAAAAGGTATCCTCATATATATCTATATATCTATCTATCTATCTATCTATATCTATATATATATATATCTATATATATATCTATATATATATATATATATATATATATATACATTTATATATATATACATTTATATATATATATATATATATATATATATATATATATATATATATATATAAAATCCTGACAAAATTCGAATGCTGCAATAGACGCTCTCAAAGATTATGTTTTTGTGCCTATTTACGCAACTGTTTTGTTTAATTCCGGCTTTCTCACGTTTTCTAGAACGTTTTCAATTTTCGTATTATAAAAATTCGAAACGTCTAATGTAATTCTTAGAAATAATTCATCTTCACAAAAATTTACCCTATATTAAATTAATGTTGTTTATGAATCTTTATACCCTTTGGGAGATTATATTTCCAACACTAACAATCAACAAACAACATTAAATACTTTTATTGGTCACAAAGACACCACATTGTCTCGTAGGTTGACTTTTGTCAAAGATTAATGCAATTTAGGCATATATAGTTTAACACATAACAAATAAATACAATATTAGCATAAGACAAATTTCAGTAGATAACACTAAAATTTTGTATAAGACACAGTGCAAAATTCTGGAAGCTGTTGTAATAAAAGAGAAGAGACAACATTAAATAAGGTATCTTACGTCAAAGAGGACTGTATATTGAATGTGTCTTAAAAATACACATAGAATTTCCAATTTGACCGTTTAAGTGACGTCACCTTTGATTGACTTGAAATTGGTTCCAGCAAACGTAACTATATATATATATATATATATATATATATATATATATATATATATATATATATATTAAGCAGTTTGCTTAAGAATTGTTTAATTTATATACAGCTCGAGCTATTTGAAAATCTTAAATCATAAATTTTCCAATGTCTTATGAGGGCATTCGGCTTTTCTAGAACATGATGAAAGAATTTTATTTTTTATAAGGTTATGTCCATATGTATACATTGTGTTTGCTTTGGTAATTTTCGATCGTTGCATCTTCACGCGTCGGTGGATATCATGTCGGTTTTCCATTCAAGTATTGTGTTTTTTCGCGTCGGTGGATGTCATGTTGTTTTTTTCTAACTATCGTGTCTTTACGCGTCAGTGGTTATCATGTCGGTTTTTTTTTTCAAATATCTTGTTTTCACGCGTCGGTGTATTCTTTTTTCATGTATCGCGTTTTATACGCCAGTTTATGATCTAGTGTCGGGTTTCTTTTTTCCTTTTTATTAATTTTGATATATATTTAGTATGTATTATGCATGTTTACATACAAAAGTAATAATATATTAGGCGCATAGGAATAGCGAAAGATGCCTTCCAGAAGCTAATCAGGAAAATGTTGTTAGAGGCACAAAAAGGAAAAGAAAAAGTGCCCAAATGTTATCGAATATCAGTCCTCGTATGAGTCATTGAATGTTGGAAAAATTATTTACAGATAACGAAAAGATTTGAGACCACAGAGAAATGACTCAACAGAATGCTGCTGAGAATACCATAGATGGAGCATGTAATCATCCAGTAAGGAGAATGAAAAATAAGAGGATATTTATACATAAGATTAAAAAAGAGTTAACATGTCTGGGACAGATAAGAAGGGAAGAGGATTTGGAGAGTTTGAGAATCATAGGACGTCATGGAAGCAAGATGGGCAGAAAGAAATAGAAAGTAACCTCCCTAACGAACTTGTGCATATGGATGGACAGAACAGGGAATGGAAGGGATACTAAAAATAAAAACAAACATTGCTAAGAACTACAAAGGTTAGAAAGTTGTAGAGAGCCATGATCACCCACGTTCTGAAGGGACACGGCATCTAAAAGAAATATTATGAAAGTCAAAAGCGCCCAGAAAACATTAGACAATTTAGGCTTTAATTTTCCTCGGAAAACAGAAACATGGTTCAAATAGAAAAAAAAAAGTACATTCATTAGTCTTCAACCAAACCTGCATAATTCAAAAAATATAGTACCTAAATAATATATATATATATATATATATATATATATATATGTGTGTGTGTGTGTGTGTGTGTGTGTTAGAGAGAGAGAGAGAGAGAGAGAGTGGGAGAGAGTGGGAGTGATAGAGAGCTAGAGAGATAATCGAGAAATGCAAATGTCGAATGTGTTAATTGATGAAAAGTGAGAACTTTTCTTCCTCACTCGTAGTCGGCTTCACAATCGAGTCACAAACAACCCCAGAGGGGGTATCGATCTAGGGTACAATTGTCGTTTTCGCCATCACTCCCAGCAGGCGAGTTGTCATCAGGCAAAAAAGACAAAGATATCCTGTCTTGCAGAATGATGACGATGTTGGTGGTTGGACAGATGAGATCAAATTAATAT